CAAGCTCCTCCGCCAGCTCCCTCAGTAGTTGCTCTTGGCATATAAGTTAAAGACTATATATTTTTGGAGGGGCAAAAATGGTAGTGATGCATGAAAAAGCAAGGCGATGGGGAAAAAAGTGAATATAAATTATTCCCAGGTATTTTTAATGAGTAAAGGAAAACATCTACATGTAATTTCATAATATATTTACAATAGCATTTAATTGGCCAGAGAGCAACTTTTGTTTTCTTGCTAAACAGTTGTATCCTCCTGATATGAACATGTAAGAAATACCCTTGGTGTTTTTGGTTTTGTGATCATAGAACCTAATTTAGGCTGCTGAGCTTTTTATTTGTAGATTATGAAAGCAGTTTTGATATATTCATTCTCCTTTTCAGATACTTTATTAAACTAATTTGCAGATTTATCTTCATGTCAAAAATACTCAAATAGAATGTAAAATTAGCATTTGGTGTATCAATTGGTATCACCCTTAAGAAAAACTGCCTTCTCAATTTTGAAAGATTGGCAGAAAGAGCTGGAAGTCTTTAAGAAAGACTCAAATAGTTTATTTCACTTTGAAACAGTCTTTGACTTCAAGCCAAATTGAGTTAGAAATCTGTAGTTATGTTATGGGTAAAGACTTGTAAAACAGGGAGGTTTGGTCCTGTTTTCTACCTTCTGATGCCTCAAATGTGCCAGATTAGTTCTTGCATGTCAATTTGTTTCACTTAACCTTAGTTGCATAGTCTGAATTGCTTTGGCAGGTGTTACTGTTTATCTGTTCTCCTGTATTTGTTTAGCTGTCCAAGTACTGCTTAGCCTTTGCAATAGCAGTCTCTGTAGAGGCCACTTAAGCTTGCGTAAAAAGTCCCAAGTGAGGACTTAAATTTTGATAGACAAAATGCACTGTTGAAGGGGCATTTTAATGCTGAATGAGAAAAGTGTTATCTCAATGCCCTTTTTCTGTTACTCTCTTTTGTCGGTCTTGATTTCAATATTTTGATTTTATTAGCCTTTTCAATATCCTCTTCAAATGAGAAATAGTGATTTGAGATATTTCTCAGGATTCTAGTGGTCAGAAAATGCTTTCTGCTGTATGGAACTCAGTCCTTTGAGTATCAGGTTGGTGCTCAACAGGGACGGTGACTATATGGAACCGGTGTATAGGATTTTTATGTAATGATAAAGGCATACTGTTTGAGTTATAAGTGGGTAAAATTTCAAGCCACAGACTCTCTTTATGTAATTCTTTATTGTTCACTTTCTTGATTCTGAAGACATCAGACACTTGTGTGAAAGTTCCTGTACAAGTTTTATTTTTGGTGTAAAACCTCTTTTGCTAGTGTTCGTTCTGGTTGATGTAATTCATTCTATTGATGGAATAATTCGGAAAGTGGAGTGTAAATTACATAGGGAATTACATGCTTCTTATTTTGCTTTTTAACTCCAGAATGAATACTGGACTGGAAAAATTGAAAGAGGCCTCTGAGTCAGTGGCTGCTCTAAGCAGAGAGCTGGAAGTAAAAGAAAAAGAACTTCAAATTGCCAATGAAAAAGCTGACATGGTATGTACAACCTTCAAAGTGTATTGCTGTTTAATTTCTTTAATCTTTTTATTTTTTCTATTTTGAAGAGATTAATCAAGTAAAAGGAAGTTAAGTTTGGGAAAAAAGGGGATCTTAGAAACTTATAACAGTGACAAAAGTCATCTTGTTTGAGTTTTCTGGTTCTTGAATTCAACAGATAAAATTTTACAACAAAAATTAATACGTTCTTCCAACTAGGTGTTTTCTTTAATATTTGGCACGTGGGTTTTCTCACATTCTAGGTATTGAAAGAAGTTACTGTAAAAGCACAGGCTGCTGAGAAGGTGAAGGGTGAAGTTCAGAAAGTGAAAGACAAAGCTCAAGCTATTGTAGACAGTATCTCAATTGACAAAGCCATTGCTGAAGAGAAGTTGGAAACTGCTAAGCCTGCTTTGGAAGAGGCAGAAGCAGCCTTACAGGTTAGTACTTGGACTATGTATAACATTATTTTACTGCTAAGAAGATGGGCTTCTTTGAAAACAAATACAAGGTTGCAGGTGCATTGCATAACTCATCAGTTGACAGAAAATGTATACAAATAAATATACATATTTTGAGGCTTTTTAGGCTCAATTTTGTTTTTCTTTTTCCACCTGAGTACCAAACCCAAAACAGGCAGTTTTTCAGAAAACGGCAAATTTTAACTTTCATTTGAAACTATAGTTGATATATGATATGCTGCAGGTTGATATTAGACCACTAACTGAATGTTGATACTGTTATAAAACAGCTTGTGTGCAATGAGTGAAGAAGTGCCTTCCATGTAAAACCAGTTATAATTCCATCCAAATCTAAACCTCCTGTTTTATTTTCAGTTTTCACCAATGAATTGCATTTTGAATAAGTTTGCTAATACACTCTTTTCTGCCTTCTTGAAAAAAAAATTTGTTTTTTCTTATGAGTTGTGACATTCCCCATATTTCTAGCATTCACCATGGGACTCCATGTCTTTCAACATACTCTTTTTGCATCATTAGTGATGAAAAAAAGATTAATTTTTGTTGATCTTGTGTAGTATTTTTTTTTTACGTCTGTTCAGCTGACTGTATACAAGAATGTCCCTCAAGGCATTTCTGTTGAGAGCAGTAGCAGTGGGATCTGAAGTAAACCTAATACTGGAGGCTAGCAGGTCACTTCCTAGATAAAAAAAACCCCTGTGGCTGGTTATTTTGCTCCATTTTTTACATATTTAGGACATATTTAGGACATAGCTAAATGCTATGGTAAAAGACATGTAGGTACAGAACAGCTTATAAGCATTTTTAAACATATAGTGAGATTAATTTTTTAAAGCTTGAGTAAGAATTGTCAAAGTTCAATAAAACTTAGTTGCACTTTGCCCTGCAATAAAAATGGCACATTAAATGCACAACTAGAAGTAAACAAATAAATAAATGGAAATTAAATGCAACTCTTTTGCCATAATTTGGATGGTAGCAAAAAAAGCTGGGCTGAATTTCCTAAAGGTCACTAAGAAACACTGGTTAAAGTTTCCATGGAGATATCTGGAAAAATTCTGAATTATCGGGTGCACACTCAACCCAACAAGCAGCAAAATATTGAAGGGAAACAAAAGGCAGGGAGAAGGAAGGTGATCAGGATAATCTGCAATAATTTACAATCCCTTTCTTGAAGTATAAACACAAGTAATTAGAATCTTCCTTTATGAATTCCCAGTGAGGCATCTGCTAGGCTAGAAGCAAGGTGTCATAACTCCTGCAATAACCTGTTGCTTACTGTTTGTCACTGTCATGTACGCAGGCTGATTAAACTGTCCCTGAGTAAGCAAAGCTTCTGATCCAAGTTATAGGAGTGGGCCTGCCCATCAGCAGTTACCACTGTTCCGTATTTTTTTGCTCTGTATGTGGTGCAGTATGCACTACTGCTCAAATCAGTGCTTCTTGAAAGAGACATCTTCAGTAGACTTTTCTGATAGTCCTTTTTGATGCATGATGTACACTAGAGTTATGAGATACAGTATTAGATTTGAACCATAGGCTTAATTGGCCTTACTTAATAGGGCCTAGGTTTTCATATATTATTATAATTTATTTGTTTTTCTCACAGGCCTGCTTCTACAACAGGAACGTTCCCAGTGAGATGAATCAGAGGGTGCAAATCTATACATGTATCAGGCCTTCTCACTGGTTTCCTTAATTCACCTTCATTTGCCAAATATCAACAGAATGTATTTTCCTTTCTAGACTCAGTTTCTGGTCAATAGGTTTGCATTTTAAAAAAATAGGTAAAATTTCAAGATGTTTCTGTTTTGCTCTTTGTTTTTTCAAAAATGTGCATGGTAGTTTTAAGCTTTTAGGTGCTCCTGTAGAGGTAGTTGAGCTGAGGTTTCCTAGTAGTTGCTAGGAGGTAGTAGTGAAAATCTGAGGGTCCTTCTAGCTTCATGCTTTTTAAAGGTAAAATTATTTTCAATCAAAAATAATATGAATAATTATTTTGTTCTTCTCCAATGGATTAATACTGGTGGTGAGCTTGTGCTCTATATCTTATTAAATAAATGATAACAGTAATTGCTTTACGCTTTGTTTTAAATTCATAGACAATAAAGCCTGCAGATATTGCCACTGTCCGCACACTGGGTCGACCTCCTCACCTCATTATGCGTATCATGGACTGTGTATTACTGCTCTTCCAGCGAAAAGTGAACAATGTGAAAATTGATCAGGAAAAATGCTGTACCATCCCATCATGGCAAGAATCTTTGAAACTGATGACAGCAGGGAACTTCTTACAGAACCTACAGGTACTTGTGCAACCTTCTTCTTGATTTTTTTTTTAATTTAAGAGAACAAGGGTTCTCTGGTGTTCATAGGAGAACAAATGTGCAAGGGGAATCGGACACACAATAGATATGAAATGTTAAGGGCTTAAAAATAAGTATGTCATAATGAAATAAACTTGAATTCTTCTGGCAAAGTAAGGTCATAAATCAATTGTAGCTTCTCCTAAGTAAGGCAATGAAATTACTTTCAGTGACAAATGATTCAAAGCTTTAAGCATTTGGTTTGAATAGCCATTATTTATCTGTTTCATTAAAGCTGATAGAAAACATCTTTTTTCTGGTACCTAACTTTTCATTAATTTTCTGCATTACAACTTGTGCAGTGGCTTGCAAAAGAACAGTTGATTGTTAGGATGTACAAAATCAGAATTTTTTGAAATTTGGGATTTTCAGCTCCATAGCAAGTGTCTAGGGAAACGGGAAGAGTAACTGGTGAGTAAATCCCTGTTCATAATTTAAACTAATAATATTATGATTAATCTACTCAGAATAAATTGTACCTTGTCCTGCCCCACTGGATATTATTATCTCTGATGTCTGCATTTTGAGGAGTTTACTTAATCTGTCTCTGGTCCAGTGGGAAATCACAGATGGCAGGCTTGACCAGCTTTGTATGGTTGGTAGTGCCATGGATGCCATTCATGTAGTATTCACATTGCATCTACTTGTAAGGATTTTTAATTTACTGAAGGGCTTCAACATTTCATTCCTTGTGCGTAAATAAACCTATTTGTGCTTCAGGGAACAGCTATTTTTCAGGTTCATCGGTGATGGACTTTCATTATACCTTGTAAATAAATCTTTGAAGAAGACCAAACTTATATGGAATATTTGACCATCAAAATAAATTTGAGAGAGAAAATTGAAAGCTTTTGGGGATGAAAAATGGAAGAGATGTTTTTTTGAGAAAAGAGAGGGTCAAAATAAATTCTTAAAATTGAAACACATTCCACTAATGAGATAAGGTAATTTAAGGAGAGGATAGCTGGCTTGCCCTTTGAAAGGGCTGTCTTGTAGAATGTATGTTTATGAACCAGAGCTAAGCTTTTCCTTTTCTTTTTGAAGATTGTTAAGTTACTTATTCAGTATTAAGGAAAATGGAGTTTCAAGCAGGGCATCAGTGATATTTTGTATCAACAATTAGCTGTGTAACGGTAATGGATAGTGTAAGATAGCGACGATCATAAATGAAGGCAAACTTTTTGCCATTTTGTAAGAATATAGAACAGAGTGGAATGACTTTGGCAAGCTCTCAAAGATGCATGAGGCAGAGAACTTCATATTAGCTGTTTGTAAGTAACATTTGTGATCTTGGTAGTGTTCTCTGTGTGCCGAAATATATATATGTATAGTTTACATATGTTACATACATTATGTATATTGCACTTTTTTTTTTAAGCAATTTCCAAAGGACACAATTAATGAAGAAGTGGTAGAACTTTTGAACCCTTATTTTGAAATGGTGGACTACAACATTGAGACAGCTAAGAGAGTATGTGGGAATGTTGCTGGCCTTTGCTCATGGACCAAAGCTATGGCTGTATTTTTTTCCACCAACAAAGAAGTATTACCTTTAAAGGTAAGTCTGTTAATCAGTGGGAGGCACACAAACACCCTTTGCTCCTTCTCCTCCCCACCTGTATGCACTTAAGGATTTCATCCGCTGGAAACATCAGCTGCCTTATTCCAACTGGTGCATGCCTCTGTAGGAATTTATTGTCTAGAAAATAGTAACTCTACAGTAAAATGTATTTTAAATGTACTACCACTTGTAAGTTGTCAAAATTATGAAAGAGATTGTGCAGTTTTATGCCTCTTCTGAATGGAGTTGAAGCAGCTTTCATCTAGTTTAATTCATTATTGCAATTGCTTTACCTTAATTAAGAATTAAGTAGGAAAAATCTCGAGATCTGGTTCTTTTAATGTTTGGGATCTCAGTTCATAAGAAGACTGTACAAAGACTCTGTTCATCAGTGTTGTTTAGAGAAAAGCAGGCCTAAATAGTTGTTAAAAGGTAAGCAAGTAAGTCAGGAAGAACATGGTCAAGGATGATTTTAACATAGAATAGCTTGTATTTATAATAGGAATGATCGAGAGGGAAGCAAGATTTGTAGTTAGAGGTAGTACCTTTTATTAGACAAAGCATATTGGTTAGAGAAGTCAAACAGGCTTCTAGTGGCATCAGTCTTTTTTGCAGCCCAGATCAGACTAACTTTTGTGTCAGATGGAGAATGGCTGGTATTCCCACAAGTTTTTCTAATTATTTTTTCTAATTGATGTTAGACCAACTGCTTAAGCGCAGCTACCTGCAATAAGAAGTTAGTTTGTTGTGAAAGTCAAATAAAAGGTTTTAATGAATGATGAAATCTCTAGTGAGCAGTTTGATTTTGAGATATGTTATAGCAAATGCTTTGAGATGTTATATGTATGAAGACACTTTTATATTTGTATTCTTCATAGGCGAATTTAGCAATCCAGGAGAATCGCCTAACCACTGCTATGCTGGATCTGCAGAAAGCTCAAGAAGAGCTGGGTGCCAAGCAAGAAGAATTAGATATCGTGCAGGCAGAGTATGAAAAAGCGATGAGAGAAAAACAGGCGAGCTGCTCTTTACAGAAAATAAGTTGCCACCCTTACTTTATGGAAAACTTAATGCATTCTCTCAATTTCACTGTTATTCCTTGGAAAGGATGTTGATCCCATTTATGACAGATGTTGATAGTTTGTCCTGATATATTTTTTCCATCCCACTTTTCCTCCTTCTCTGCACGGTGATATAAGTGTTTGAGAACATATTTTTGAGCTGTTGTTTAACTACTGGTTTAATTAGATGTAGAGATTTTTCTGGCCTATCAGATACATGACTGTAAACCATATTTCTTGGTGTATGGTTTTCTCTAGACTTTGCTTGAAGATGCTGAGCGTTGCCGTCATAAAATGCAAACTGCCTCAAGTCTTATAGGTGGTTTAGCAGGTGAAAAAGAGAGGTGGACAGAGCAGAGTAAAGAATTTGCCGTGCAAACCAAGAGGCTAGTGGGTAAGCTTTTGTCCACACCTTTGGACTTGGAAGTTAGTCACTTAAGTTGTAATGGGTAGTGAAACTGAAAACATTTGAAATTTCAAACTTTTCCTTTGTAGCTTAGCTTCCCTGTTGCTAAAATGAGGGTAATTGTTATTAATTCTCTCGCTAAAGCACTGCTAGGTAAAAAATACAATACGAGACTAAATTTCATATTTAAAAAAAAAAATAAAGTAGCTGTGTATGCTGTACATGGGGTTTTACTTGACGTGTATAACATGCAGCGCATACTTGGGATGCTGATGTTTTAACTTGACTGATGTTTGTAAGCTGCAGTCCAAAGAGAGTGATACGTTAGCAAGTGCCAATAAAATATCTATAACCAAGAATACATATGGAGGAGAGGAAGACTGATATTCAGGCACTGACATTTATATGTAGAAATCAATATTTTTAAATGCAGTTACTAATGATCATAAAACTTTTGTTTCTTAGAAGTTAATTTTTATTTTACAAATATGCGCTTGGAAACTAAAGTACTTTTTAATAAAGAATTAATTTATTAGCTATATCAAGTAAATGAAATTTATCTTGTCCTTTATTGTGGTCTGAAGTTTCTTCTTTGACTTTTGCCTTGAAATGCTGTAAAAAGATATTGTTGTATAGGTTGTGTTATAGTAGATAGGTTGTATTTTATTTGCTGGTGTAATATGCATATGTGTATTATTAACTAAAAATATAGAATACCTTCCCCACACACTCATCATGGGTTTTTTATAGATAACTTGAAAAAGTCTAAAAAATATTAGTACTCAGTATAAAAGTACAGTATCTTCTCCAGTTTGGAATCCTGCATTCTTACTTCAGAGGTACCAAAAAAACCCACTATGGTGTCATGAAACTTAGGGTGGCAATTTTGAAGCTGACCAGAAGATTAAAACTTGTCACGCTTAATACTTCCATAGTGATATCTGTTACAATTTTTTATTAGTAGTAGTAATAATTGTAATTGATTTGTTGTTAATTAGTACTCATAAATAAAGGTTCTTTTCTACCCCCAAAATATTGTTTAAGCCTGTTCTCACGACTGTGTGAGGAAATGATGGAATTGGAAGTTTATGACTAAGTTTATTCTGCCATGTCCTGCTTGTGCAGGATCTGGTGTTTGGAATAGTGAGGGGGTGTGTGTGTGTGTGTGTGTTGGGTTGACCTTGGTTGGCTGCCAGGTGCCCATCTCTTCATTCCTACAGTTGCATTGTAAGGATAAAGTAAACATGGTGCTACTGAAATGTAGCATTGTCTTGCTGTGTAATGAGCCCTGGGAAAAAGACTGATTTGTCTTCTTTATGGGTCAAAGTGTGTTCTTCAGCTACCAGCCAAACCATATAACAACTAGAGAAGGAAGCAGCTCATTCATTAATAGAATTGGCAAAGTTGTAATGGCTTGTTTTCTTTTTTTCCTTTTTCTCTTTAAGGTGATGTACTCTTGGCTACAGCTTTTCTGTCCTATTCTGGTCCTTTTAACCAAGAGTTCCGCAGTCTGCTATTAAATGACTGGCAAAAGGAAATGAAAAGCCGGAAAATCCCGTTTGGTAACAACTTGAACCTCATAGAAATGTTGACTGATGCTCCAACTATCAGTGAATGGAACCTGCAAGGATTACCAAATGATGACTTATCCATACAGAATGGAATCATTGTCACTAAAGCATCTCGTTATCCTTTATTAATCGATCCACAGGCACAGGGTAAAATTTGGATTAAAAATAAGGAAGGCAGAAATGAACTTCAGGTAATAGGAATGCTGGTGCTTTCATAATCCCTAGAAACTCCTAGCTCACAAAACATTACAATTCAGTGATTCACATAATAATTAGCAAATGCCTTTTCTATAAAATGCCTAGTCTGGTTATAAAGTACATCTCAGATATATTTTGGTAGATTTGAGTTTTGGCTAGATATGAAAATGTATATTTGAAGCTTATTAGTACCAGTGACTCGATTTGTTTACTAAATTTATTTTAATGAAACATAAACTGTTGGAAAATAGGCTGGATGGGTAATGTCTGATAAGGGCTGAAGCATGTTTGCAGAATACTATAATCATTAAAAAAAAAACCCAAATAAGTGATTAATACAGATTCATATAAATGTTTAAAAATTAAGATGCACAGCATGATATTTTTATCATCTTTTAATCAAAAAATTATTGATAATTTGTGTTGTCTTAGTGTGGATGTCAGGTGCTAAATATTCTGCAAATACACAGGGAAGACAATATTGCAACAACACACATTCTGAGGCAAGATACACCAATACGATGCAAATGGGAAAATACGAGAAAGAAAGTCCTTGCTACAATTATAATTAGACCAATAAACCAGCTTTTTAAAAAGATATCCCTGAAAAAGACAAAGAGGAGTTTGAAGAATTATCATGGAGTGGCTCTGAGAGTATTAGTAGGAAACTACTTTCATTCATGTTGATTGTTATCTCAGTGCAGAACCCTTTAATGGTTACCTATGTAGTTATGTTAAAAAATGATTATTAGAGTTTAACTATGGAGTTATAAACAAGCTAAGCTGAATGTGTTTTGTGTACATGTTGAAAATTAATCACAATTGTACTGAGGACTACTTTTTAAAGCAAAGACTGTTTAATGGCTTGTTCAGTATAATCCCCTAATTTTCAAGGGGGTGGGAAAAAAGTGCCCTAATGTTGGAATTGACCTTGCTGCAGTTTGACTTGGGGATGTTATCCAAGATAAAATTGAAGGTGAAAAAAGTTCCTGTGAATTTCTGGTCTAGTTGCACTCATAGGATATATAAACTTTAAGTGCTCAGTGTTGCTTTGCTTCTACTTTTGTAGTTGAAAAATAGAAGTTTGCATTCAATGAGATCTGAGAATATGGTACACTGATGCTACCTTTTCTTGTGATCACAATCTTTGCCTTAATCCTAGTCTAACCATAGGGTGTTTGTTTTTGTCAGTAATTTAAATAAAATGAAATAATTTATAAATATAAAACAAATAAAAAGCAAGCTTAGTAACTGGGCATAACATAATATATAGGTCCATGATTGTACTTTTAGATCACTTCTTTGAATCACAAGTATTTTAGAAATCACTTAGAAGACAGCCTTTCTTTGGGAAGACCTCTTTTGATAGAAGACGTTGGAGAAGAGCTTGACCCAGCACTTGATAATATTTTGGAAAGAAATTTCATTAAAACAGGTTCAGCCAACAAGGTAAAAATAAAACAAATGAGCAAGCAAGTGGAAACATCCCCCCCCTTGCTCTCAACAAAATAACTCCTGATAAGTATATGACTATAAAAGATTAAACTCATATATAAATTTGGTTAATGCTAATACCAAAAAAAAGTAGAGTTTAAGATCACAAATAGTTAATATATTTAACCTATAGAGTTCCTTATCCCTTTGCTTATGACAATTTTTAAAAATTGAAATAATCTGTGAATAAGTAATTTAAAGTGTTCCATAGATATTCTTAACAAATTCTTTGCATCAGACGTATAATTTAAAGCTGGATTTTTACACCTTTGAACAGAAGAATGTAACCTTTGTTTCTACATGCACTATCTGAAAGAACTTGATATCTCAAGACTTCTTTTTAATATTTTTCTTAAGGTGAAGGTTGGTGATAAGGAAGTAGATGTTATGAATGGCTTCAGACTTTACATTACTACAAAACTGCCAAATCCAGGTTACTCTCCTGAAATTAGTGCTCGAACCTCCATCATTGACTTTACTGTGACCATGAAAGGTCTTGAAAATCAACTCTTAGGCAGAGTCATTCTCACAGAGAAACAGGTAAAAGAATTAGTTGTATCTTTTTCCTGGCTATACGTCTTTACATTTACCTGTAGAAAGTTTTACTTTCATTTTAATTTATTACTCTCTATTCCCATATTGCAGGGTAACTTTCTGGCTCTCTCTGTTGTGTTTATTCTTAATGTAACCTATTTATGATGGTTTAAAAGCTGGCACAGAAGAAATAGACTCATTCAAGTAGAAGTTTCTATTTGTCTTTATTGTCGCAACTGCACCATATTCACCTTATTTTTCCTGCCTCGATGAGTTACAACCTCATGAGAATGACCTGTGAAAAGGAAAAGTCCCTGGAATAAAAACTGGTGTTCTTCTGTCCTACACAGTGTGGAGCTCATGGCCACATAACCTGGTGCAAAGGACTCAGACTTAGTTACTTCCTTGCTCCTAAATAGGCTAACTACCTATTTTGACATTGCAGATTTATCAGTTGAGGAAGTCCAAGTTCAGGATGACAGTCCCAGTAAACATGCCACCACCAGTTGTGGAGGGAGGCTGGTTGGTATAGAAACATAGAATAGTTTCAGTTGGAATGGACCTTTAAAGGTCATCTAGTCCAACACCCCTGCAATGAGCAGAGGCATCTTCAACTAGATCAGGTGAATAACAAAGAATTTTTTGAACTATTGGACACCTAATCCCTGTTACAAGGTCAGGCAGTGTTGAAGTCAAATGAGACACTATGCATCTATGACTGTATATTTACTAAGATTTTGGCAATAGTTCCAGTTTACCTTCACTAGAGAGGAATGTGTTTGTTCCCTTATTGTGGCATCTGTTGAGGTCCTCCTGTCCTCCTCCCCCAACTCCCCCAATATAAGACGTTCCTCCTTAATGGCCTCAGTCATCTTGTTAATGTCAAGTAGTTGCATTTCATTCCTGATCAGTCCATGGAGCTTATGAGAGAAATCATACTCATTCCATGAAGGCTTATATTTTGTCAGACAGCTTCATTGCACCATCAGCTTCGCTTCAACCAGTGACAGCTTGTCAACCCACTACGTAATGGAATTATCACTGTCTGTCTGAAATACACTGTGATGTGTGTATTCACAAAGCCTTATGCCAAACTTCAGTTCGGGGCCCTGCAATACAGTACGTTCCTCAAGATGACAGTCATTTTATCAGCAAATTCCTCTAGTCATCGCAGTTGCTGTATGCCTGCTTGGAGGACACAGAAAAGATAGGAGCTTAATTTTTCTCAGAGGTGCAAAGCAATAGACTGAGAAGTAATGGACTCAAGTTGGAAATTCTGATTAGATATTAGGAAAAAAAATAATTACATGGAGAGTGATCAAAACCAGGAACAGATTACCCAGGGATGTTGTGGAATCTCCATTCTTGGAGGGGTTCAAGACTCAACTGGACATGGCCCCGAGCAACTGACCTATTTAGACCTGCTTTGAGCAGGGGGTTGGACTAGTTCATTTCTGGAGGTCCCTTCCAGACTAAAATTATTCTACTATTCTATGGTATCTTTGCCACTAACTGGGAATGTCTAATGGGTGGACATGCTGTGCTCTCTGGACCAGCTTCTCAGAGTGATGTACTCACTGCTGCTTTGTTTGCAACCATCTGGGAGTAGTTTTTACAGATAAATGACAAGTGGACCATTTGACAGGCAGGGGGACTTTCATAGGATATGCTTACCACTTTTCAGTTTGCTTGGCCTCTGTTTTTGCATCCTGTAGTTCAAGGTTTCCTGAAGAGTCAATTCGGACATAGCCCACTGTCCAAAACCTTTTTTTCCTATGATATCTAATTATGCATCTTTGGGAATTTGGGGATTTCCCTCTGAAGTGTCTGGATTCTTGCTACCCTCTTTTGTAGTCTTTGGTAGGGAGGTGGTGGAATTATTTAACTGTGAGACAGTTTGCCAAATGATTTGGGCAGTATGACTGCTTGGTGATATCCAGTGTTAGAATGTATGTGTGGAACTTCTGCCCCAAAAAGAGAAGAGATTATTTATCTGAAGTTAGTGTTCTTCAAGGTTTGTATGTACATTTATATCCTTCTTGCCATTCCACTGTCTCTAATAGGGTTCTGCACTTAGGAGATTTAGACATGCAGCAAGCAAAAGGAGGGTTTACAGCACATCATTTAAAGATTCTGCAAAGTTTGACTTTCCATTCCTGTGTTGTCTGGTATGCCCATTGGTAGAATCTGTGTGGCATGCATCTCAAAGAATTGATTGATTACTGATAAGAATACTGGTACTGATTTCTTCTTTTCCACCAGAATGTTAAACCAATGTGCAAGATGTGAGCTAAACATAAGAAGGTCAAAGGGTAGCTGGTGTATCTGTATAAAATTAATTCTACTCTATTTCTTGGAACAATTGGATTTAAGAGACTTGATATATGTCTGAATGTAGTATAAGTTATACCGTTTTAATGGTATGATTGTTTTGATATATTGGCTGTTATGTAATTTGACAAAAAACTTGCTTATTTAGTATTGTAGAAATAGATATGTCAGATTAGTAGTGGAGTTATAATATACAAGAATTCTTTATGTTTTTTTCAAATTTCACATTCATATTTCAAGATTTGTGGTGAAAAAGGCTCAAATTTTGTAAGGAACAGTTGATGCAAATTCTTGCACTTGTGAATCATTTTGTGACACAATAATATAAGCTATGTAGCAGCTTTTATATTTTATTAATATTAATAAGATCTAGCATTCTTTGGTACAGCCTGTAAAATGATGTCAGCTTGTGAAAGCAATTCCGTAAAGCTGGATTTGAAATAGCGTCTTTGGTGCAAGTTCCTTGAATTTATGTATATGGGAACTTAGCTTAGTTTTTTTGCATCCTTGATGTTATGACTGGAAACTTTTGAAGACATGCAGAAAAGTTTCAACTGTGTACTCTTCCTGATCTGCAAAAAGTATTTTAAAAGCTTAATGGATGGATTTTTCACTAAGGTTTTCATCTAAGGTTACTTCACTTGCTTTAGTTTGGGCATTCTGTTTCCAACTTGTTTGTCAGGCTCTTCTTGTGAGGAAGACTTAGCTTTCTGTTTTCTAAATGCATTGCACTCTAAAATATGTTTAAACTTCTAAATTGAACTCAGCAAAACATGAAATTTAATTTGGCTCAAAATGATTTCTCAGCATGATAATTATTATATTTAATTGGATGCTAACATTCTTTTAATGCTATACTTTAAAAAATTGTTTCTACTTCATCAAACTTGCATAATGCTTGTCTTGCTTCATAATTGCTACCTGCTTTTCTTTAGTTCCATTAGGCATCAGTTGATTAAAATGGAGTTAACTGTGGTTTTCTTGTCTTTTTTAATCAGTTTTTGTTGGGATCTTTTGAATCTGTATGCACATCTTCTAAGTTATGTGACATTTACATTATTCTATGACAACAGTCCCAATAAATCTTTTCTACCCGATGATGATGATGATGTTTCAATATACTTTTTGTACAGTGACAAGAAAAGAACCTAAATCTGATAATGAGATGAAGATGATTTTTTTTTAATTTCCTTTTTAAGATAAAAGGACTTCACAAAAACTAAATGCTTGAAATACTTAAGAATGCTAGCAGAATGTAGGAGTGAGAAGACCACAAGTTTAGAATGTGGGAAAACAAAAAAAAAATTTCAAAAGTTGTAACAGTGTTGCAAATCTGTATAAATGAAGGCTACTCAAATGGGGGAGTAAAACCTTTCCTTAAGCCTTGCTAAGGTCTCAGGTTCATAATGCCTCTAGTGCTATATGAGAGATCATGTATTTCTTAGTGTTGTCCCTGTTTCTTTGGAACCGTAGCAGCCTGTCTGCAGTGCTGAAGTGGACTTGGCAAGGGTGGAGTGAACACACAGCTTCCAACTTTGGAAAGACATTGTTAAAACTATCCACCAGACCTTTGTAAACAGTGAAGGAGGACTCCTCTAACTAATATTTCTACCAACTGGCTCACTTATTGTTGATTCATAAGATTCATATTATCCTTATCTTACGAAAGACTCTTAACCCTTCCTCTCCCTTCTTCTGTATTGAAACATTTTGTATTGTTTCAATGGAGTACTTTTTATCTTTGAGGGATTCGTTTGAAATAAGTTTTTAAAGTTTTAGTTTTACTCTTTAATTTTAAGAGTAGTGTGAGAATGAATTGAAAGGCCTTTTATCTCTGACGAACATATTTTTTTCTAGATATTTTAAACAGTTGTTTTTTTTTTTTAATGTAAAGCTATTAATCAACAGGTATTTATCTTTTATACTGGAAAACAAAGTAGGTATATAAGCCACCCAGGTTGTATTACTAAAAGTAATCAACTAAATACTTCTAGTGAAGCAACTCAGTTTGAGTTCTACATGCTCTCTTTTCTTAATCAATGAAGCATTTTAGTGAGAGACTGAATTTATCCCTGTTTGATGGAGGAGTATTTTTAGATGCACTTCTTGAAATATTTGATGCTTGATTCGTTGACTAAGGATGCTCATTATTACTGATACTATATTTTCAATATGGTGATTGGAAAACGGCATAAATGAGGATAGCATTAGATGGAGTGAAAAAAATTCTGTGCCTGGAAAGGTGCACTTGTCCTTGTGAAGAAAACCAATTACTATTCTGAAGTTCTAATTCTACTAGGACATAATATGAGCATGCTCCATAGTATTTGTTGAAACGATTTGTTAATGCATCCTTATGTAGCAGGTTCAGAAACCTGCTGTCAGAAATACCACTGGAATAATTTCCCCAAATTAGTGCATTTACTCTTGACCGATGCTGTTTTAGTAGGATCAGTACTTTTAAAACTAAATAACTTGGTTTATTTGTTTTTATTTTTGATTACTCTGTTTTCCAAATATTACCATGTATTCCAACAGGAATTAGAGAAAGAAAGAACAGATCTTATTGAAGATGTGACTATGAACAAAAGGAGGATTAAAGACCTAGAAGATAACCTTTTGTTCCGACTCACAAGCACCAAGGGTTCTCTGGCAGATGATGAGAGTCTAATAATTGTATTGAGTAACACTAAGAAGACTTCTGAGGAGGTAACACAGAAACTGCAAACTTCTGCTGAAACTGAAGTACAGATCAACTCAGCCCGTGAAGAGTACAGACCTGGTGAGTGAAGGTAGTGATGAAAGACAAATGACTGGAGTGTACAATTAAAACAGCAATACTTAGAGTAAGAGAAATGGTAGGATGAGATCAAGAAGACCATAATGGGTGGGAAGGGTCTGTGTTTTCCTGTAAGTAAAATGTATCTAGGAAATGTCATATTGAGCTATGGTGGAAAAATGGTCAATGTCATGCTTCATGGGGAATTTATAAAATGGAGTGATCTATTCTCTCCCTAGACTTCCCATTGCTCTATATACAAATGTGCCTGTCCATCTAGTCTACTGGGTAAGAAACTTGTGAGGGCTTGATTGTTCTCCCTTAGCCGTTAAAATGTTGACACTTTTTATGGACTGTCAATGAGACCAGTCATTACAGATTTAGGTAACTGTATCTTTGAGTTCAAAGTGACATTCTTTTAGGGGGCCAGTATAATCGTAAATGCTTTTTGTATCTGTTTGGATGAATGCTTTGTTTATCCTGTCATAGATCCTTAAGTTATTATAGTCAGCACATTTAATCAGTCTTTTGGCTTTTAACTGACAGGTGAAAACGTGAAAAAAGTGAAAAAAAAATGCTCTCTGGAATTAAGTGTTATATCTGCATTTTAGGAAATGCATTTTAGTTAATGTATCAGAAATCGTTGCAGATTTTGTAAAACCTTTGTATTTAAAACTAAATGACTGCTGAAAGTAAGTTAAATCAGTGCTGGGTAAGTTAAATAAACATATGACTCCTGTAAAAGTCTGTAAAGAGAAATTTGTTTGGATACTCAAACAGTACTTCAGACCACCTTACTTTTTATATGTTCTAGTGATGATCTGAATATTGCAGTATATCATCCAGATGCTCTCCAAATATGCTGATATTTGCAAACTGGGCTTTACATAGTATACATTAATTACAGAAAAGATATTCTTTTTTTTTGCTGATGTATAAATGAGGATTAAATTAACATTTTAATGACTTTTCTGACCAGTAAAGAATGAAGTAACTCAAGGATCTTCAGTTAGCATTAGTGTTGAACTACTTAGTGTTGTAGAGAGTTGAAGTTTTCTGGTCTGCTTTTCTACTTTGAACACAGTCTTGTTTCCTGTCCTTCAGTTGCAACTCGAGGTAGCATCTTATACTTCCTTATTACTGAGATGAGCATGGTCAATGTGATGTATCAGACTTCGCTTTGGCAGTTTTTGGGGCTTTTTGACCGCTCCCTAGCCAGGTAATTTAGCTAACAATAAGTGTAATTTTTATTTACCCAGTCCTGGAGGTGGTTGTAGTACAGAAAAAGATTTGTTGTAAACTAATGTCAGAAAGGAGGGTGTTGCTCGTTACAATCTTGATGGGAATTGTCAGTTTAAATACCCATAAGCCTTTGTCTGTTAGTTACCAAGGCAAAGAACCTTCAAATGTACTTACAGTACTTAAAAATTAGGCATTAGGTAATAAAAACCATTATACTGTGTTCAGCTATGCAGAAAAGCTTGATTAGAAAGATTTTTTTTTTTTGTTGCTCCTTCAATCTGAAAGTTGTTGCTAGCCTGCTGTCTGATATTCTGTGTTTGTGATCTATTATTTTTTCATGTTTTGAAAGTTCTGAACTATGTCTTTTTGTCTTTACATAGTATCCCCTTTAAAGGGAATAAAGCCCTACGCAAATCGTCATTCAACTGCAAACCTTTCTTCCAACAGGTCTACCAAGAGCCCTATAACTAGCAAGAGGATTACTAATATTATTGAACATATGACATATGAAGTGTTTAAATATGCTGCCCGAGGATTCTATGAGGAGCACAAATTTCTTTTCACGTTATTACTTACACTGAAGATTGATATACAAAGAAACAGAGTGAAGCATGAAGAATTTCTGACGCTTATTAAAGGTTGGAACTGTGGAACAATTTTAAGTAGAGCACATATATGATTGTAAAAAATTTGTGAGCTGTAGTTATATCTCCTAGCCAACCCGCTGCTTCCTTTTGCACATGAGAAGCCAGTCAATTGAAAGAATACAGGCTTATCATTCTGTTCTAGTGACAGACAACATTGTATGGTAGTTCTAATTTATAGCAGCACACTGAATATTGATAAATATAGCTTTGAGAATCGTGAGAATTTAAAAGGAGAATTATTAAATATCCTTTCAGTTGATGTTTATGTCTACTGCTCAAATACCACCAGGTATGTGTTTGACTTAGAAAAATTATTATTATACTAAACATCTTTTAGTTTATTTGGTAACTGCAGGAGGACGAGCAAGCAAATAGGAACAGAAAGTGATGCTAACAGTTTAAAAGAATATCACATTCTCAGCTGAATGTGACAAGTTCATGGCTTTAGTCTTAACTGCATGCAAGCACTGTATATCTTCACTTAGAAACTTGGAGTAATTTTGTATTGCCTTTCCAAGATACTTAATTTTCCAGGCAGCATTTATTTATGGATTATAACAGTTATTTTTTTCATGTTGAATCTTCAGAATATCTTTTCCCAACAAGCATTTGTTTCCAGGCACATTGCACAAAGAAATAGTAAATCCTCAAAAGAGGAACTGGTTAACAAGGATTAAATTTAAGGTACATCATAAAAGAAAATTAAGATACACTAACCAAACTACAAACTCTGTTTCACCAAAGACGGCGTGACTTTGTAAGGTAGAAAAACCCTGTAACCCCATGATTAAAAATCTGGATTCTTGTAGCTTGTGTTTTCTTTTTATTTTGTGTTTGCTTTCTTTTAGCTACAGTTGAATTCCAAGGAAGGCAAATGTACATATTGGCAAAGTTATTACATTATCTACAACAACAAAAAATCAAAGAAAAAAACATTTAAATTAAGCTTCTTCATTTTTTTCTCCATAAACTCAAGCTTACTTTTTTACAGTAAAAAATTGATTTAGCTTGTAATGGGAAGCTGTTATGGATTTAAAAAAAATTATGTTTTAAAGTAGGATGAAAAATAACATTTGAAAATAAAGTTTACATGTTACCTAATTCAGAAATTTCTTTATGACCGTCTTTTGTTATTAAGTAGTCTTTCTCCAGACTGAGAAGACTTATTCATGTGAAATAGTCTTGCAGTATCTTGTTTACATTTTCCAAATAGTTCGTTGTTGTGTTGTTTTGGTTTTTTTTTTTTTGTCTTTTGGGTGTCCCCAACAATTCTAATTATAACTAATTCCTAATTTCTTGCAGGTGGTGCTTCCCTAGACCTTAAAGCTTGTCCTCCTAAGCCGGCTAAATGGATTCTAGATATGACTTGGCTGAACTTGGTGGAGCTCAGTAAGCTTAAACAATTTGCAGATATTCTTGATCAAGTAAGTAAGAGCTTTTTAAAAGGACTCTCTTGTTTGACAGCGATCGTCTGGTAGTGACCAAGGCATGTGGTGTGAAACTGGTTTATTTTGTAGAACAGAATGAAACTGACAGCAGATAGCCACAGTTGTGGCCCCGACTCCTTCGCAACCTCTATTGATAGACTTAAACAAACACAGGAAAATAAGAAGAAAGTAGAACGTTTCACACCCTACATAATTATAATACTTTCAGATTGGGATTATCCAATTAACGTAACACAACTTTAATCTTCTTCTGGGTGTTAGACTTTCTTGCATCCCTGTTGTGCTTTTTTACACTATGTTTTATGATGCTTGTTCCAATATTTCTCTGATTACATTGAATAAGAGTTAGGGAAATAAATTCAACACTTGTGTGAATAGTCTTAATGGACACTAAGTGTATGATAGCTAATGGAGTAAGTAAATAGCATTTGGTATATGTGAAGAGTACCTTCTGTACAGTCGTGTGGGGAGCTGATATGTACCTGGTGCTCTCAAAGCTATGTCTGAGCCTAGCTATCTGTGTTCTGACCTTGCGATGCCATTATATCATTAATGGAAAATACCGAGTAGTAGCTCATTTTTTCAGAATGTGAATACTTAAGGGCACTGTTGCATTCTACAATTTTGTATTTAAAATCTGGAAGCTTATCCTCTTTTTTTTAATAACCTTACTAAATCTGTGTGCTAACATTGCTAAACAAATGCCTGTGTGTGGATTACGTGTCTCTGACCCTCATAAAAAGTTTGTGACCTAGTGGCAGTTGAAATGTGACTTGTCTGTTTAGTGAGATTTACTCCTTTGATGATATAACTGCAGATTTCCAAAGCAGAGAAACAGTGGAAAATCTGGTTTGATAGTGAGAATCCTGAAGAAGAACTGGTTCCTAGTGGCTACGGTCAATCACTGGACTGCTTCAGACATCTTCTTCTTATCAGATCTTGGTGTCCTGACAGGACCATAGCTCAGGTACATTTATATAGCCAACATAGTCTATTTAGGTGTCATTAGAATAATAGTTACAGGATTGCAGTTCAGTACTTTTTTATTTAAAGCTAAACTCCTTTTTGTAATGGACCTTTACATTGCATTTTCTGAAATTCTTTTCAGACAATTTATGTATTTTTTACAAGGGCAGTGTTAGCAAAATTAGAAGTTTTAACTGGTATTATAAGGCTGTAAGAAATAACATCTTCAAAGACCGCGTATGTTAACATGTAAAAATAAATTTGTTGCATATTTGTATTTCTGATATAAATTTATAGCAGCCTTTGCTCTTCAGTTTACTTATTGGTTGTATTTACACTGGGAAGAAAACAGTATTAAATGATTACATTGCAGGTTAAATTTATCCTTTTTAATATAGGCAAGAAAATACATCATTGACACTATGGGGGAGAAATATGCAGAGGGAGTCATCTTGGACTTGGAGAAGACATGGGAAGAGTCAGATCCACGTACTCCTCTCATATGCTTTCTTTCCATGGGCTCTGATCCTACGGACTCGATTATTGCTTTGGGAAAAAGACTGAAGACAGAAACTCGTTATGTTTCCATGGGCCAGGGGCAAGAAATCCATGCTCGTAAACTTATACAGCAGACAATGGCTCATGTAAGAGACAAAAATCTGAATGTTTTTTGCATTTGTATTAAACATTTAGAAATTAAAATTCTGTCATGAAATAAAATTGTTTGGTGGGTAGTTAGTGTTGATGCAAGAACATATATTTATTTGTATAAATAAGTGTCCTAAGCAATAGAACTGTCTTTTCACAGTCATTTAATTGGCTGTAACAAACTTTTTGATGCTGTGCAGACATCAGTGTTTTTCATATTAAATGGATTTTTTGTTGTAGGTTGTTGACTGATGAACATAGCTGAATTGATTTTGTGGAATGCACGAATATTAAATATTCTTCAGCAAGCATTTCACAACAGTTTTTCAGTTTTGTATTTTTAGTAATACAAACATATTTTGTTAAATGAAGAAGATTAATTCCAAATATACTATTGATAGTTACATAACCTTGAGAAAAACAAGGCTGTATAGCAAAATATTTTGTATTGTTGTAGTCTGGATTTTGAATTGGGATGGACAATCTGATAGCACAGGCATTTTACAACTGAAACATGGAAGAATTAAAGAATAAAATTTACTGTATGAGACAGAAAAGCTGAGATGTTCCAATTTAGCATGCTTTCCCCATCAAGTTGTAGTACTGCTATGCCTGCTGATGTGAACAGATTAAACTTCTTGCGTTCCTGTTATGAGCTTCTTCCCTGTCTGTATAACCAGTTTTCCTCTGACTTTTGCCTCAGATTCTCATTTGACAACTTCACATTAAGAGCTAATTAGCAGATCAGACGAGAAGAAACTCATTGAAAAGATAGGGAAGAGGGGCTCCTTTTTGTTTAGTTGAGAGAAATGCAGTAACTTTCCCTCACTGTTTCACATAACCTCTTAATGAAGAGGTGTGTGAGATGTCTGTATGAAGTATGGTAATTCATATGAGAAAGCTTGATATCTATTGATTGATAGCAATAGATTAATTATGTATCTTGGTTTTTTTCCAAGCCTGTGACCCTTGTGAGGAACAAGGTTTAGCAGCTTGCTCTGCGGAGCTACTTCTGAGTTCCCTTATTTAAGATCAATGAAAGCATGGGTTCACCTAGAAAGTCAAGATTTATCAGTGTTTATCAGCACTATAGCAATGTCCAGATATGTTTTAAATGTACTGAAATGGAAAAGTTAGGGACTACCTGAGAAGACCAGATTGGACAAGTAAGGACCACTTACTTTAGATGTGGTTTAGATGATAAAACCAAACAAGCTAACAATGCCCCCAGAAGGAACAGCCCACACCTTAGCTCACATGAGCTTTTTCCTGGAGAAAAAATATTTTAACTGCATGTGTACCATTACTATGGCTTCTGGTCTCTGTTTGTACATGAAATGTACACGAAAACAAATGATTAAGGCTTTGGTTTTGATTTGGTGAGCCAGTGGTGCAAAACTGACTGTGGAGGATTTCTTCCTTTAACAGCTCTCATAAGCACTTAAACATGTTATATTTTGCTATAGCTTAGATGTGTTGGCTTTGTTCCTAACCTACAGCATAAACAAAGAGTGATTTTAGTGATTTCAGTTTGTAAACAATGTTGATAGCTTTATATTCTGTTGTTTTAAACTAGGGAGGTTGGGCACTTCTGCAAAACTGTCACCTTGGACTTAGCTTTTTGGATGAGTTGATGGACACTGTAATAGAGACAGAGACTGTCCATGAAAGCTTTCGACTGTGGATGACCACTGAAATTCACAAACAGTTCCCCATCACCCTTCTTCAAATGTCTATTAAGTTTACCAATGAACCACCACAAGGGCTCAGAGCTGGGCTAAAGAGAACATACAGTGGTAAGTGCTAGAGTGATAATGATTTAAAGTAAAATTTTGCTGATTTTTGGACTCTCTGGTGTTACCGTGTTGTCACATTGTAGCCACTGATAGTAGGTATAAGCTAGTATGAGGAACTGATCACAAAGATGCTGGGACAATCTTGATCCTTGGTTTGAGCTAGAAGTTGTGAAAATTAAAAGGAAGAGAAGATCTGCTGAAGTTCTGTTGCCAGAACTAATTGGAGAGCAAAACAGGAAATGCTTTTTCTTTTCTCAAATGTTGGCTTCTAATATCTCAGTTCAAAGTGTTTGAATTTTTAATCCTCTTATGTCTTTTTGCAGCAAAGTGACATGTTAATCTTTGTTGGCTATTAAGTGCTCCTTACATTGCATAAAATAAAGGTCTGTAGTCAAAGAGTCTGTACAGAAAGCAACTTAATGTGAATTCAGCTATTAGTAAATTGTGGTTTGTTTTTGTTTTTTTTTCCTGAAGTTTAGTCTTTTAATTTCAGCAACTTAATAACATGCTATAAACTGTCTCCAGCATAGAACACTTTGTAGGACAATAATTTTGGGAGAGGCAGAGAGCCAACTGAATATCTCAGAGAGTGATGTTTTAGTAGTGATTTGAAGTGGTTTTGAAAAATAGTATTACTGTGTTTCTTATAAAGCTCTCTTACAATCAATAGGTGTCAGCCAGGATTTACTAGATGTCAGTGACATGGTACAATGGAAACCAATGTTGTATACTGTAGCCTTTCTGCACTCCACTGTTCAAGAAAGACGCAAGTTTGGATCTCTGGGTTGGAATATACCTTATGAGTTTAATCAATCTGATTTCAATGCTACTGTGCAGTTCATTCAAAACCACTTGGATGGCATGAATGCCAAGAAGGTAATTAATGTTTTTGTGGGGAAGGTGGATCAGGGTGATGGATCTTTCTAGTAGTGGAATATGTACACATGGTTCCCAATAACTGAAACAGAAACATGATTTTAAATTATTCTTTTGTTTCTTTCCACAAACATTCAACATTACAAGTATACATGTCTGTAGAGCAGCAGGCTCAAGTTAGACTTTTAATCCTGTGCATGTTAAATTTCTATATTAACCTGTACGTTAAAAAAAAAACCTCTCCCAGCCGTCTCCCCCGAAAACTCCAGAAATATAAACCTTAGAAGTATAGACCTTCTTTTCAACGCTAATTGAGCCAGATAGTTAAAAATGGACCACTGTATTTTAAATATTTTTTTGTTTAAATAAATTTTGAGTAAAAATAATAAGATTTGGCTCCTCCAACCTATCTGGGCAGCATAAAGAAATGGAAAGTTGCTTTAAATAACTATGTAAGAATTCCTCTTACATTCCTTGCTTTCATATGGTCAGTTATCATATAGAGGTCTGTGGCAGATCACTTTGCAATTGGCTTTTTAAGTGAAGTTGAAAGTATGATTGGAATGTAGCTGTATCCCTCTTGCCCAAATGCTGGAATAGCCTCTTGAATTAGTTGTCAATGAATTCTATTTTGAGAAATCCTTGAAGATGTTTTGGGAATGCAGGGTTATAGGAAAAAAGAGTAGTAAAAAAATAACTTTCTTCCAAAAAGGACAGAGATGCAGGACTTGGTATATCAGCTGTTCTTACTAAGGGAGAGAAGAGTCTTACTAACTAGGTGAGAAGAGGATTAGCTAAAATCAGTGCTTTCTGCTTGGTTTTAGGGGATCTCCTGGAGTACTATTTGTTACATGATAGGTGAGATCCAGTATGGTGGCCGTGTGACAGATGACTATGACAAAAGACTCATGAACACCTTTGTAAAGGTTTGGTTCAGTGAAAATACATTCAGTCAGGAATTCAGCTTCTACAAGGGATACAGCATACCCAAATGTACTATGGTGGATCAATACCTTCAGTACATACAGGTTGGTAAATGGAAGCTTTTCAACACAAAAAAACCCAATTCACTTGTTTCTCACAAGTTCCTGAGTCCCTATATTTTGTCTTTTCTTCTGAGTACCTGTATTTTATCTTTTATTCACAGAGTCTTTATTGCTTTCTAATAGTCTGCATATCTGCTAGTGACAACTAGTTGTTGTCATCAATGTTATCATCGTCATGACAGTAACCTTTTCTTTTTCACGTGATTTGCTTGAGGGACATACCTGAAAGCATACAGTTATTAAAGAGGGCATAGAATGGAGTCCAGACATTGGGTACAACCTCACAGAAATAAAATATGTAGTTATGTGAAAGTACAAGCTGACTCTTAAAATAGTATGTAGAGGTTAAAAGTGAATTTGTTGTTAACCTTGGTGTGATTTGGGCTATGACATGACAAATAGATTGCAGCAAGTTATTTGCCCTAAGATTGTTTGATCTAGCCTCTTCCTTTACAATGTAAGGGAGGGTTTTTTGTGTTTGTTATTTTGTTTTGTGGGGGGGGTTTTTTTTGTTTTTTTTTTTTTTTTTTTTAATAATTAGCTTATAAACCCATCTCCAGTTGTGCTCTTTTTATATTTTACTATGTAGAATCTTCCTGCTTACGACACACCGGAGGTGTTTGGTTTGCACCCTAATGCAGATATCACTTACCAAAGTAAACTTTCCAAAGATGTATTGGACATCATCCTCAGTATTCAGCCTAAAGATAGCTCTGGTGGAGGAGGTGAAACCCGAGAGGCAGTTGTAGCCAGACTGGCTGATGATATGCTGGAAAAGCTTCCTGCATACCATTTGAAGTGAGTTAATGAAATGCTGTCAAAAACATTTGCTCCATCTTGCTTTGTGTGGATAAAAACAAAAAGAGTAATGATATTAATTTTCTAAAACCATGTCTGAATTCATTCATACAGGCAATACTTCAAAAACATGTTTTAAAGAAGTCTGACCAGACTCTTAACATTTAAAATGAAGTCACTAAATGTGCGCTGAAGTACTTTTGTAAGAGCTTTTTCAAAATATTAAACCACTTAATGCTTAAGTTATCATTTGCACTATGGGGGTGGTAGGATCATCAGATTTTAAGCTAAGCTTGTTGACACTGTAGAGAACTGAGGTGGTGTTGAAGTGTATTTATGCTTCTAAAAGTATTACAGCTTTAACATATGTATTACTTTGGGATTCAGCTTACATCCTGAAGATATTTTTAGGTTGCTTTCTTCTTCAGTGAAGTGAATGCTGAAAAGCTTGTCAAGTGATAGCTTTCATTGGTGGAAGCCCAGTGTTAGTATCTCAGGATCCATATTAACACATAATAGCCCATGTAATTATATTTGTAATGGATACCTGCTGCCTTGCAGCCATTTCTTTTCTGAAATAGCAGCTTTCCTTCTGTTTATGTGGAAGATGGAATGTCTCTCAAGGTCAGAGAGTTTTCTTACAGTTAGAAAACATTTACTGATGACTAGATACATGGATACTCCAATTGACTGTATTCTGTGTCCCCATCCTGGAGACTACAGTTTAATTGAGTGTTTGGACAATTTGTGTTGTTTCTGGGTCTTTCCATAGTTCTTAGTTCTCCTTTAGAGCCCCAGAATTTTAGGATGCTGACATTATAGTTCTTCCCAGGTAAGGCTGATTATGAACTTCAAATAAATGAGAGGAAAATGCTTGTAAAATAGTTAAGGTTCCTATATTTCCTGTAACAAGGGATGCTGAACTTTTGGGTTTCATTATATTTGCAAAAGCTTAAAAGCGATTAAGATTGGTTATGTCAGTAATAAAACATTTACAACACTTTTGTAATGAAATGGGTGTGACTCACCCCAATGTGTCATCAGAAAAAAGTTCACACCTATGTTTGTGCCTTAGCAGACTCCCAAAGTAGCCACCTGCTCATCTAGGCAATAAGATGTTTTATTAATTAGATAATTTGCCTGCCATCTCCTTCTTGAGGGGAGTGAAATCTCTTATCCTTAGTCTTCTGCCATTTTACTTACTCTTTAATGGAAGTTAGCATGAGGACCTGATACAAGGCTAGGAGGCTTATGGATGCCAATACTCTCCTGTCAGGATGCTGAGCTGTGAGAAGGAGCAAGGAGACTTGGACAATCTAATGCCCTCTTTTCTGTTTTCACACAGTAATAAGTTTCCCTTATGTGTGGTATGCTCATGAGTATAAACTCTCTTCAGGTACCCATGTCTTACATCTGTTGTTTTATGTTTTCTGTAGCCCATTTTGTATTACATAATCTTCCCTCAAATGGCATAATTATGATAATGTATTTTATCTGAACAGATGAATTAATGTATCTGAATTTGGAATACCAATTATCTGGCAGTCTTCTAAAAGTTTGCACTTGCTGAAGTTTCTGACCTACTGAATTTCTAGAAGCCTGACCTTTGCAACTTTCCAAAAGGCTGAACCAGATGTCTGGGATCTGCAAAGGATTGCAATCCATTGAGTTTCTCAGAAGGGTACTGCTTTAGTGATGGGCTAAATCTCCTGGTAGTTATTAGTCCAACTCTCCTCAAATTCTGCTTGACATCTCCAGGAATGGATATGTGGCTTAATAAAGGCATATATTAAGTATAATAATAAGTCATTGTATAAGTAGAGTCAGCCCTGTTAAGTTTACAAGAACTCTTTTTGGGCAGATCAGCTCTGATCAGAAATGACAAATGGAAATTTAGTTTGTATTAATAAAAGTGAACGTGGAGCGCTAAACTTTTTCACATGATGAAAACTATTTTAATTCCTTTTTGTGTAGCAAAATACTGATAAACTTAGAAAGGTTATGCATATTACTAAGAACAGGGCTGTTACCCTGTATAGGATTCAATACATGGTCTATATAATTTTTTCACCTATCTCCCAATAGGACCATATTGACTACAAAATTTCTAGTTACGTCCATAAAGTTATTGTTAATTTATTAACTTTACACTTGTGATTAAAAATATATCAGCAAGTTTTATTAGAATACAAGACTGCCTGACATTGTGATAGTTCCCAGGCATTGCTGATAAAAAGCACTACTATGCTGAGGCAAAGTGGCTGGGGCAATCACTCTCGGTTGGTTGGTGCAAAGTGAACCTTGGGAACTGTCTGTTGGAATTAAAGCTGAAATCCTTGAAATGGGGTATGGCCTACATGCTGTTTAAATGGCGTTAGCTTGCAGATTGATATACAGACTAAGTCATGAGTTAGGCTAAAAACATAGCCAGTGTCAGCATCATAGATTTCTCTTGGAACAAATCCTGTATTTCCATCTTGCAGAGGATTCAAGGAAGATGTCAAACTGACCATTTAACTTCCTAAATAAAAATATTATGTCTTAAAAATTGTATTGGGGCCTAACTTTGACATAAAGCCAACTTCGTTTTTTATTTCTGTTGAAGGAACTTTGGTTTTCTATCTACAGGTAAAAGAGAAACTAAAGAACATGGGACCTTTTCAGCCTATGAACATATTTTTGCGACAGGAGATCGAACAAATGCAGAGAGTTATTTCCTTAGTGAGAAGCACTCTGACTGATCTAAAACTTGCCATTGATGGGACAATTGTTATGAGTGAAAATCTGAGGGATGCTTTAGACTGCATGTATGATGGAAGGATTCCTGGTAGCTGGAAAAAAGTAGGTGTACATTGTACATCACTTGTTTTGTAAGGAAAAGAAATATTATTTCTGTAGAGCTAGGTTAAACTGCTAGACATACAGTAAATACTTTTTTCAAACACAAGTGTTAACCAGGACTGTGCAACTCCTGGAGTAGATTTTGGGCTAAAATAAACACAGTCAAACAAGCCCTCTTTCATTTATAAAAATAGAAATGAATGTGAGAGATGCAGGTATTTCCCATTTTAACAGCCTGTGGCATATTGGCAGGATAAAAAGCTAGAGAGAAGAAAATAATTTAAAAAGTGACGATGGATTTTAAAAAATAGCACCCACACTAGTGGAGTACAATGTTGCTATTCTTTGAGATTAAGACCTGTAGTTGTAGAATCACAGAATAGTAGAGGCTGCAAGGGACCTCTGGAGACAGTCTAGTTTAACCCCACTTCTGAAAGCAGGGTCAATTAGAGTGGGTTTCCCCGGACTCTCCAGAAGCGAGAGTCCACAATCTCTCCAGGCAACCTGTTCCAGTGTTTGATCACCCTCACAGTAAAAACAACCAAACAACCACAAACCAACCAAACAAAAAATTTCTTAAGTTTAAATGGAGTTTCCCACATTTCGTCTTGTGCCCATTGTGGAGGAGGCTGAGGGGAGACCTCATCGCGCTCTACAACTACCTGAAAGGAGGTTGTAGCGAGGTGGGGGTTGGTCTCTTCTCCCAAGTAACACGCGATAGGATGAGAGGAAATGGCCTCAAGTTGCGCCAAGGGAGGTTTAGACTGGACATTAGGAAAAACTTCTTTACTGAAAGAGTGGTCAGGCCTTGGAACAGGCTGCCCAGGGAAGTGGTAGAGTCACCATGCCTGGAAGTATTTAAAAGGCGTGTAGATGAGGCGCTTAGGGACATGGTTTAGTGGGCATGGTGGTGTTGGGTTGATGGTTGGACTTGATGATCTTAGAGGTCTTTTCCAACCTTAATGATTCTATGATTCTATGATTCTATGATTCTCCTGTCACTGACAAGGATCTGGCTCTATCTTCTTCCATTCTCCACGCATGAGGTATAAACATTGACAGTATCTCCTCTGAGCCTTCTTTTCTCCAGGCTAAAAAATCCCAGCTCTCTCAGTCTCTCCCATAGAAATTGTTTTCAGGGACAACTAGAGCTGTTTATGGCAACAGATGGAAAGAAAAATGGGGATTTTTTTTGGTGGTTTTTTTTTTTTTTTGCTTGTTTTGTTTTTATTGACAACTTGTTTTCTTGGTGCAAAATCTACACCAAAACAGATGCTTCACACAGCACAAGTGTGATATAACTATTCAAAGAGAAAAATCATCATAAATCTTCACATAGTCCAAGCTCAATTTTCCGTAGCTTTTTTCAGAAAAAGCAGAATAGTTTTGGCCGAAATCCTGTTATCTCGATGCATTGACCTAGGCTTTAGAAAGACATGTAGACAATATTTCTTCCTAGTTCACACAGCTATTTAATTTTGCAAAAAAGTCATAAAATGGACAATTACCACAGGGAGCATTAAGCATGTGTAAATGGAATGGTAGGCATGAATTTGAACAGAGCAAGAATTTGCTTCAGGTTTCAGTGGGATGCAACATATATCTATCAGGTTAAAAGTTAAGATATGAAAAATGAGCTTTAAATATGCTTTGCTAATATTACTTGTAGTAGTAGTTGTTTACTACCTCGTGAGGAATTACCTTTTGTTGACATGAATATGGTGTTTTAAAACTGTTGAATAAAATTTAAAAAATGAACATGCTGTTTACTATTTTTAGGCATCTTGGGCTTCCAGTACACTTGGTTTCTGGTTTACTGAGCTTCTAGAAAGAAACCACCAATTTTACAACTGGATTTTTGAAAGTCGACCAAACTGCTTCTGGATGACAGGTTTTTTTAATCCTCAAGGATTTTTAACTGCAATGAGGCAGGTAAATTGTGTTTAAAGTCTCACTCTGCTTATTCTTTGATATACTTTTTTAAAAAAAAGTATATTGTATGATGAAGGCTGAGTTATACACATGGCTCCATCATGTCAGCAGGGAAGACTGCATAACTGTCTAACATTTCCTGAGTGAAGTGTTCTTTCTCTGCACATACTTTTTCAGTACATCAACCACTAATGTGTTAAGATATATTTCCTGCTTTGATCCGAGCCCCATGTATGTAGGGGCTACCTTACAACATTATTAAGGTAGACTGGAGAAGTAATGTCTCATGTTACCATTGAGATATCCCTGAGAAGAGGTGTTAAGCCCATGAATTTATTTTCCTTCTTTTTCCTCCCTTTTAGTCTGTGTTCAGTATTTACCTGGCTGGAGACTTGCCAGAACAGCTATTCAGAATTAGTCTTAAATTACACTTCTCCAGTTCAGTAGCTGATTCAGTCTCTCTTCATGAAGTGGGAAAGTGTTTTCTTTATTAATGCATACTAAGTATGAAGTTTGATGTATTTTTTAACGCGTGTGTCTCTGTCGACTCGGTGATTGTGTTGGTTGCTTAGCATGCTAGTTGCATTTGACAAGTGAGCTACTTCTTACTTTAAAAGGAGGCAATCAATACCTATGTTGGTTGGCATAAAAGGACACATTGGAGACATAATTGACTGGAAACTATAAAATTGGGAAAGAATACTCAGGTGGGAATCCAATGGGACCTCAGACAAAAGCTAACTTGAGGAGGAGAGAATGAAGATTTGCAGAGAAGGAAAATCTTCGCTCTTGCTCTGAGGTCTGGGTAGTGTCATCTTTGGCTATCAAACTGAAGTTCTAATTGGTGACCTATTGCTACTAAAATTGCAAGCATAATGCCTTGGAATTATATAACAAGATATTTCTTTGAGTAAACAGTCCTAAACCGGAATTTTCTTTTGGATCCAAGCTTGTGGAAAGGGTTTAGTAGCAGGATCTGAAACAGCTGGAATCTGCACAACTTTTCTGGTTCCCTAAAAAGAGGATGTGGGTACATAACAACCTAATGTCCCAAGTAAAAACCAAAGAGACTTTCTGGGCCTTGCTATATGGTGGGACAAATAGAAATGAGAAAGATAAAGAGCCAGAATGATCACTGAACTATAACCCTTCTGCTCTTTTAAGGCAGCTAATTATCTGCCGTATAGGACAAACATTAATTCCAATTACTTCAAACAAAGATCTTGGAAAACATTTACAAGACCAGGATAAAACTTAGGTCTGGCATAACTTAATAGCATGGGATAGTAAGGGATTGGGCAAGATAAAGGAGTGTTGTCCAGTGCACTAACTGACTAAATTTGAATTATATGTTGAATCTTAAGCATGTCTATCTCCAAGTGTTCTCTAGGTTTTTTGCAGTCTCTTTATGTAGCTTTAAAGCTGAGTGAGATCTTACTTATTACTAACAATACAGTTAATGAAGAGTATAGGTACAGGAAAAGGAAGGTAACCCCAGAAAATATGCAGCAAATTAAGCATTTTGCTTTTTTCATTGGAAATGTTTTACTTAGCACATGCAGTTAATGTTTTCTCATCTCATGAAAACTGTGAAATTTTCATATTCGCAAGAGCCAGTTGCCATTGGCATTCAGTGGTTGTGTTACTTGGTATGGTCTTACGATATTGTATATAATAATAAGATTGCAAATCAAATATAGTGGATAAAGTACTGAAAGCTTTCTTGTAGTACCATGCCATCACTAGCTTAGAGAGAAGTCAAACTGCTGTAAACATGGTTATCATAAAAAGTTAATTTTTTTGTATTGAAGAGGATAAGTTGTGACCATGCAAATATGTTTCTAATAAATGCTTGGAAAAAATGGCTCTGTGCCATGTACATGTAAAAATGTAACCTCCATACTTTTGTCTATTTTTCGGCAGGAAATAACAAGGGCTAACAAAGGATGGGCTCTTGACAGTGTAGTGCTGTGCAATGAGGTCACTAAATGGATGAAGGATGATATCACAAGCCCTCCTTTGGAAGGTGTCTATGTGTATGGGCTGTATTTGGAAGGAGCTGGTTGGGATAGAAGAAACATGAGACTGACTGAATCTAAGCCCAAGGCGCTCTTCGAGATGATGCCAGTTATAAGGATATATGCAGAGAATAACAGTAAGTAACTATTGTAAAGGATGTTATTTTGATAGAATTCAATGTAACTTTTTATTCAACTGCATGGAAGTCTTCTGGGCTTTAGGGATTTCATGAGGCTGTCGCTATTCACTGTATACATATGAATCTTTTTCAGCAGTGGAGGCTTCCCAGTCTTCCATATAAAATGAGCTTTCAGCCTTCCTTGATAATTGATAATAGGCCCTTTTTTCCCTAATACTTAGATAGGTCTCTACCTTGTGGTCTTAATGGTGTTAATAACTTTTTAAACCCATTGCAGATGAGCTGTTCTCTGCCTCCTCTGACAAACATACTTACATTCAGTCTTCCATTGACAATATGTGTCCTAGATTGAGAGGATCAACATTTATATACATAAACTCTGTAATCTCCGTAGCCTCTGTAACCTAAACCCAAATAACCTCTTTCCCACATCCCAAAAACCAATGTAATTTTTATATATATATATAACTTGTATAAGTATGTATACACAACATATATATATAAAAGAACCATGTCTATCTTATATAAGGTATTTATAGATAACATGTTATGTGTGTAACGTGTATATTTATAAAAATGCTTTTTTTTTTCTGGACAAGGCTATGTTTGAGCTAACAGAAGCAAACAAGAGGTGGAGTGAGGTGGTGGAAGATATTTTGTCTTTGAGGCAGAAAAGGACTGTAAGAATGGAAAGGAAACTTAGGGGGCTGAAGGACAGTGCTGTTTTGTGAAAATGTATAATTTCAGTTAATGTGGGTTTTTTTTGCATATAAAATAGAAAATGCTGTTGAATAGGGATGCAAAATAGGATAGGACTATGCACTGTTGAATGTAAAATTGGAAATTTCTGTTGAAAAGCATTCCACCTCCAAAAGCAAAGCCTGCTTACATGCTGTTTTGTCAGGATTTTGTGCAGCTGATCTTTTATAAGAGGTATGATCACTGTGAAAGCAGCCAAGATGCTGCATAATGAACACTGAAGTATTATGCACAACTAGACTACTGTTCTAATTCTGCAGTGAAGAAGTTGACAGTTTATACTCTGAAATACTAAATGCATTTCAAAACAGGTTGTTCAAAATAGGGTATTTTTTATTTTGACACATTAATAATATATTGATAAGAAGTAATGTTCAGTGGGCAGATTGAACTAATAATAATGCTAATCATGCTAGAGTGTCCATTTACATTTCTTGCTACATCCAGTTCCTAGGTGCTGATGTTAAATCTTAAACCTACAGGAATTTCAAGCCATAAGTGGCCTTCAGCTTGCAATAACACAGTAGCGAACAGTGTGAGAATCAAGTAGGAGTTTTCTTTGGTGGTGACGGAGAGCTGTGTGCTACTGAACTTTGATTCAATTTCACATTTGCCTTATGCCCAATCCCTTAGAGCCCTGGTTTTTCAATCTAGTTTCATTGGTTTTATGTCTCTTCTGTCTTCTCAGCTTCAAAAGATCCACGTCTGTATTCATGTCCAGTCTACAAAAAGACCATTCGAACAGATATGAATTACATTGCTGCTATGGATCTTAAAACCCTTCAGCCTCCAGAGCACTGGGTACTGCGTGGGGTAGCACTTCTGTGTGATGTCAAGTAATGTTAAAAAAAAGGTTTCTAAGAGTTCTTTTCTGTTTTTAAATGTAAACATCAGTATGTAGTTAGCTATACAATGGATCACTTCTAAAAATATATTTTCTAAGACATAGAGTCCATTATGGTATTTTTAGAAAATTGTTCTCAATAAACCTCTACAATAGGCTTATAAATGCTAAATCTTAAAGTGATACTAAATTTGGTAAATAGATTGAAGTACTGCCTTTGATCTCTTGCAAATCATGACAAATATTTAATGTTCATATCTCACTATTGTGTGCTTAATTTTACCTTGAATAAAGATTAATTGACTTGAACTTTGTTACTTTTCAGTGGTAAATATGCTCGTATCAGGGCTTACCTTCAAGTAGCTAAATGCAAAGCTTTTTGTGTGTTTGTGTGTGTATCTATGCAAAGCTAAGCCCAGTTGCTCATTCATATTAGTTAATATCGCTCAAGATTTTGTTGCAAGATTTATCTCCTAGCTGATAGTTTCTAGTTTGCTTGCTGACTAAATAAGGAAGGTGAGGCTGGAAAAATGTCACACCTGTTTCACCACTTGGAGAAAAATTTCATTGTATTACATAGGAAACCTAGCATTTGACAGCTGCCAGAATTCCTTACTATCTGTTCATGACTTATAAATACGTAATGGATAGGAAGAAAATAGTTCCATAAGAATGCTTGGATATTTTTTCATGTGCTAGTACACCAGATTTGAGTCAATCTTCATCAAGGTTATTAATTTTATGACATCAATTTTAGCCTTGTGTCTGCTCTAATTTTGCAATGTTGTGATCTTATATATTGGTTGTTTTTTTTTTTCCTTTCTCCTTTTTTACTTATGTGCTGCAGTCTCAGATAGATAGGAAACTTTTCACATGGGAATCCACCTTAAAAGAGAGATGTTAGCAGCTCCATTTGAACACTATTGGCTTCACATATCAAGCACACATTTAATCATCAAAAAGCCAGTGCATTTTTGTTGCTGAGTCCAATAGGTCATGTATCTTAGTGGTCCACTAGTCATTCACTGTAACAGGTGCTGCAGAAGAGGAAGCAGAAAGAACCAATGTTTCTGGTGCATCTGTCATACATAAATGCTGCAACGGAGAAGCTGTTTTCAATTTTATGTCAAATAAACACATGGAATTTGAAGGGTGCATTAACTTGTTTATTAAATAAACATGCTAAATATATCTCTTGCCTAAAGCCAATATTTAAAGAAATAAAAAATTTTATTAGAAGACAGAATAATCGTCTTTGTATTTTAGTGGAGACTTCAGCATTCATGTCTACAGTCAAACCAGTTATGAAACTTAGGTGGAACATTGATTCTGTTTGAAACTTTAGTTGTAGAGGTCTTTCCATTGTCTTTTCATCTTAGAATTATTCTTTTTTTTCTTTTTTCTTTTAAATAACTCACAGTGAAACAAATGAAATGTATGAAAATCTCCTTTAGGAAATATTTTTAATTTAGACATGGCAATAAATAAATATAAGATGGGAGGGTTGAATTGTTCTTTTCTGGACCTTGGACCACCATACTCAGACTTCCAGGACATCCTCCAGATGCTCATTGGAGTTGCTGTGGACTTTCACCAAGACCTTCCTCTCTCAAGGAGATGCACATACTTTGTCCTTGTGCAAGTCATTTACACTGAGAATTTTCAAGCCATGTACACTTCAAACGCCACCTTTCAAACAGTGGATTTATTGTACCATTATTGCGGTAGACACAGTAGAGATGTCAAACCCTGCAGTAATTCTCAGTGAGTGAACTGTGCACATTTTTTTCAGAGTGGGATTTTCTATGAGGGTGGTGGGGAAATACGTACACACTGGCGATCCTAGTTATGCCAAAGACTGCTAGATCAGTGAAGCGATTGATGTTGGCAGTCACCGTTATTTCTGTTCTGTTAGCTCCGTTTCTTAAGAGGCTTCGCATTGGCTCTTTAGGTGTCTGCAAAACCACCAGCAGGAATGGAATGATGAGGCATGGGAAAGTTCAGTGAAAAGCTCTTTTGAAATGCAGCATCATGTCAGGGGCCAGAGTGCATAACCCTGCTCTCCCAGGGGCTTTGCTGCCTGGGCTGGGGGACAACTTGGTGCAGCTGGAACTGGACCTGCCTCAGTACTACAGACTTGCCTGGCAATCACTGATCTGTGGCAGACTCTGGTTACCCTCCTCAGATCAGGCCCTGCCTTGCTGACTCAACTCTCTGGCGTGACCTCAGATGAGGCGTTATTACAGCCTCATCTGGCAGTCACTGATATGTTAGCTGACCCTGGTTGCTGTCCTTACTTTTCGGGTGCCGTGGGACTGTGCCCTTGTCAGAGAGCGCCTTGCCCTGCCCACCTGCCTGTGACTCTTGGCTCCCAGCTCCACTTGCCTTTCCCAGCAGCCTGCCCTTGCTGTTCCCTGACATATGGCTTCAAACAGGTGAAAAAATGAACTGTTCCTTGTTCATCTTCATAGCAGAAGTGGGTAATAAAATGTTTCTATGGAAAGGAGTATCAATAAAATAACCAGCCCTGACATATTATAGAACTGGATGAACTTTCTCCGCATTTGGCTCTGCTATTGGTACTGAATGGATTACTCAAGAAAAAACATTCACAGACATCAATTGTGCTCTTATTAAGCATGCAGCACTACAAATTTGAGCATCTGGAAAAATGCAGGATTACAGGAGGTATTCCCTTCTTTTCTTTCTGGTATTTGGCATGATAAATACATGTATTTTGGAGAATATTTAAAAACAAATGTTGTACAAATTTCTCTTAGAAATTAATGGTAAAATAACTTTCTGAAAAAGGTGGCGATATTACAGCTTCATCAGAATCCTTTGAAATTCCTCATAAATTTTGTAAGTATTTTAAAAGAAGCAACCTAATCTTTCAAATATATGCTATGCTGTGTAGATTATACTACACAGAAAGATCTTGTCTTCTGAGCTTCTCTCTGGAAATACTTTTTTCCCTGAGCTCTATACCTACATTCATACTTTTTAGCTCATAGGTCACTCACATTGAACTTTTTGTTCTCACTGTTGTGATTTGTTCCACTTTCAGAGATTATAAGGAAGAAGAAAAAGCCAAATTTTTATCACAGTAGGCAGTACAATTCCAAATTAACAGTAAGTACAGTTGTCATCATAGCAAAGGATTTTTTTAAATCCAAAGTACATTGTTATGGTATATGTACAAACTGGATTATAGAGAAAGTATTTCTCATTCTGAACTATCCTTCATTAAATTCTTTTGATAATGAAATCAATATTGAAGAAAGTTCAATTTTTCTCTATTATGTGTTTTCTTTCTTCATTCTTTGCTTGGACAGTTATCCTGTTCTAATTACCTGGAGCTGGACATACAAAGTGGCTTCCTAATGAATCTTGAAATAGATCTTGACTAGTGCTCATATACAACATTTTAATTTTTAACCATCACGTTTGCATTGCATAAGCATTATAGGTGTATACAAATATCTTTTAGAACATATACAAGGCTTAAAAAAACAATGCTGCAGAGATGGATTCATATGAGACAAGTTGCTTATCAGTTGTGTAAAATGAAAGGTCTGTTAAACAGATGCAGAAAAAAGACATAGTTTTTGACATGTCTGTGGATCCCAAGATGTACCACGTACTGGAGCTTCTGGCATCTTCTAATTTGCAATACGCAGATTTCCCTCAAACTTTTCCAACTACTATACTACCTTTTCCTACACCTTTTGTTCTTATAATAAAGTTAAAACATCCAGTGTAAGTAGTAATGTATTATGTGTGTCTGTATATTAATATGGAAGAAAGAAAATGAAAATCTGGGCTTTTAAAATTAAGCAGCGAATACACATTGCCAATCTCAATTTGCCTGTGAAGACTGCACATAGAAATAGAAATTTCTTGGTATTTACTTGCACATTCAATCTTTTAAACAAATATCCAAAACAAAGAAGAACTATTGAACCAACACTAGAAAAGCTGGCAGAAGAAAGAGTGGTAAGAACAACATGTTTAAAATATTTTTCCGTTAGAGCTATTACTTGAAATGAATACTGCCCTTTAACTTTTTAGTGAAGCTATTGCTTGCATTGCAATCACTCTGAGAACTGAAGTAGTTATTTTAGGTTTTGCTGTCAGAGGGTATGAGATATCCTACTTTGGCAAAAAACCCAACGGATGTTTGACTGCTGATGTAAAAACTTTTTTTTTTCCAAAGGTGCTATCTTTGAACAAGAAAATTTACACTAAAAAAAAGAAGAGTTAGGAAACTGTAACCTTCTGAGCTTAACAGGGTTTAACAGAAGGCAGTGTAACTTGTTAAGACACTGTTTTTACATGAATTGCCTGCAAATAACTGAAAGTTTTCAGTTTCTTGTTAAAGTGCCACAAAAATGGCAGCCAATAGGTATAGCTCCTCCCCCAAAGCCTCTCCCCCACCAACTTGCATAACTTGAGTATAAAAGGTGTATTTTTTTGAGAAAAACATACCCTGGAATATCTTTTCCTGTTAACTGACCTTACTATATCATACATCACATTATACTCTCCTCTATTTAAGTTGAATTAGTTCTTATCTACCTTGTTTGCACTGAGTGAACTGCGATTCCAGCAAATTAATAGCAGATTAGTTTGGGAAGGGCACTGTAAGTGGTTCATCTTACCTTTCAGTTTCTTTTCTAATCTGATCAATATGTACTTGGAAAGTAAGTGTTGACTGATGATGAAGCCCATCAGCACTGTATAAGACTGTGACAAGAGTGTGTGTGCAAAGAATGTCTAGACATGCTTTGTGAAGTAAGATGTGTTCAATACTTCTCCCTTTTCTGAGTCGTCATTTGCAAAAAATCAACTCCTTTGTGTTAACTTTCAGTAATTAAAGGGGGCTTATAAGAAAGATGGGGACAAACTTTTTAGCAGGGCCTATAGTGACAGGACAAGGCGGAATGGTTTTAAACTAAAAGAGGGTAGATTCAGACTAGATCTAAGAAAGAAATTT